CACGCCCGTCCTCTCCCCGAAAATCACGCGTGCGTAAGCCTGCGGGGCGTGCGTCACACTTTCCCCAGACGACCCCACGACACAATCCTACCCAGACGAGTTAAGCCAGTCCATGCGAAGATGAATGCCACCAATCTTTCTGGCGTCTCGCCAATTGCTACCTTAGGCATCTGCTCTCTCTCCCTCTGGACATTGGCCTCCGATTTCTGTTCCCTTGAGTCTTTGTCGTCCCTGATGTGTCCTCTGCCATACTGGGTGCGGATATTCTCGCCGCCTTCAATCTCACGGTCTACTGCCGTTATTCCTGTTTGTATGTCCAGACACCCAAACTCTCTGTCCGAGGCGTCCCTTCATCCGAAATGTCCCGCAAACTCGCCGTCTTGGACACAGATCCAGAGAGTCTATTTTGGCAACTTCTCACAAAGTATCCTGCTCTCATCCGTCCAAACTTCAGCGCATCTAACCCACCGTAAGATGTTGTCCACCATATCCGTACTACTTACTCTCCCGTGTTCTATAGGCCCCACCGTCCAGCACCTGCACGTCTCGCTGCCGCTAAGGCCGACTTCGATCGCATGCTTCAAATGGATATTGGCCACCAATATTACAGTCCATGAGCCTCACCCCTCCACGCTTGCAATGGATCAGACGAGCGTTCAAAATCTCCCACCTGAACTCTTCGGAAAAATATTTGGCGCCTTTGTGAGACCATATCTCGACTACAGAATGCCAGTTTGGACCCCGTGGTTGGAAAAAGTTGTCGACCTTCTCCAACAAGTGCAATGAAAGGCAAGAAAGATGGTCGATGGTCTCAGAGACTTACCATGTCAGGAGAGATTGATCAAGCTTGACCTTTTCCCTTTGTCTTATAAGCACGTAAATTGCGGTCTGCGCTGGACATTTCGGATAATCTAAGGCCACGGTTCCTCCCTGAAATTGGAAGCTTTCTTTGAGTTAGCCATCACAACTCAACTGTGTGGCCATCCTTACAAGGTCACAAACGAATGAACTCGATCGGACCTCAGAAAGGTTTTCTTCAGCCAAACAGTGGTAAGACCTTGGAACTTGCTACCAAGCGAGATGGTTTCCGCTGACATCATTGCTGAGTTTAAAAGAAGACTTGATGCCATTTTATTTGACAAAAGGCGAATATCACAACACGATTTCTTATTTCCAGCACTATAAGCCATTTTCCCGACTCTATACTGCTTTCATACTGTTTCATACTGTCCCGCGACAACTCATTCAAATGCGTGTCATGCTACCACATCTTGCTACAATTTCATATTGACTGTAACAATGATATGGTTTACTTAACATTAATAGGGTCTTCAAGGGTATTACTTTCCTGAACCCCTTCAAATATACATATGCATGACCCCCAAGGCCACTTGTAGTGATTGGCGCCCCTGTGGTGACTACCGGACCATGAACAACGTCACCACTCCCGACCGTTACCCTGTGTCGCATCTGTAGTATTTTGCCGATGCCCTATTCGACACCGCGATCAGTCGTGATAGTGGATGTAGCGCCGTAGATGGCATCCCAACGACTGAGGAAGGCCTTGACCACCGTGGTTGCTTCCATGTTGGGGAGAGGGATAGCCTCCGGCCACCGGATGAATCGATCCGCATAGGTGAGAAGGTAGAAGCCACCGTTAGACAGAGACAGGGGGCCTATGATGCCCAGGTGGATATGACTGAACCTTTCACTTTGGCCGGGGAAGGTGCCAATGGATGCCTTGTTGTGCCGGTGGACATTGTTCCGTTGACAGCTCAGGTAAGCCCATGTCCAAGCTTTGATATCCTTGTGCATCCCAGGCCAGACAAAGCGATCAGAGACAAACTTGTCAGTTGCTCAACTCCCAGGGTAAGATATGTTGTGCAGAAAAGAGAAAACAGTTCGCCGAAGGGATGGTGGGAGGCGGTGGAGACGCCACAAATGATGGTGCCGTTGCTAGTAGTCAGTGGCAGTCTCTGGAGTTTGAGTCCGCAAACGTCCTCGTCACAGGGTGAACCAACATGGCGTTGTTCGGCAGCCATGGCAGTCAGGTCGATCCCGGGAGTTAGTTGCAGATAGGCAGTTGAGGGTCCGAACAGTGTGTCAGCCCCCTCGTTGCGTGACCAATCGATGGGGCGGATGTCCTACCCGAACTGCGAACTTTCGTTCGGTTGTCAAATCTCCCGTGGGTTAAACTGGTCTTATTTTGACTTAGGGCGTAAGAGAGTGGTTTGCGTTCAGAGAACACAACACAGCCTCTGCCCTCGGAAAGTGCCGGACATGTTTTACGGCAAGGTAGACAGCAAGAATTTCCCGTCCAAATGTACCGTTATGGTTGTTGGCGACGATCACCAACCGGTATAAAGCATACACTTCCCTTATAGTTGTTGGCGACGATCATCAACCGGAATTAAGCATTGACGGCCAAAATGTCCCAGGTGTTATCAAGGATTTGGGCATATCCTATTCTAATAGTCTCAGTCTGTCCGAGCACTGTGCCCTGATAGTCTCGAAAGCACC